GGGGACGAGCAGTTAGCGTAATGGCTATGTCGCTGGACTCCCACGTAGTTGATAGCAGTTCGCATCCCAGACCCGGTGGCTTAAATTCACGCCGAGCGCATGTGTGTGTGTGTGTGCCCAAGATCCCGAGAGAATGGAGGAGAAGGGAATGCAGCATGGCCATCCCCCCTGGGGGGAGATTTCTCGCTTTCTGTCTCTCTGTCTCTGTCTTTCCGGCGAGCCCATGCGCCCTATAGCAAAAACAAAACAAAACAAAACAAATCACCTCTCCAAAAAAAGTGCTCAACATTTTTCAAGGACAGACAACAACCAACAGTAGCAACCATCCATGACATCAGTTACTTACGAATTAAGTCCTTCATCGCTGTCAACAAAAGCATTTGTACAGGATTTTACTGCAGCCAGCATTTAATTTTATGAAAATTATTGTAAACATGCAGAGCTAAGAGCTACTGGTTAAAAGTGCTGTTCTCTCAAAGCTGTTAATAGAAAAGTTACGTCATAGCTGGTGCCGGTTTAGTTGATTTACTAGATTTGCAGTTTTCCCTGACTACAGACCTGCCATAGAAATCTAAACCCATCAGGAATGATTAGGACTGTCTGTTTAAATGACTTAACAGTTGGGGCCAGCAGGTGGCATGGTGGTTAAGAGCACTGGATTTCCATGGGGCTGATCATGGTTCGGGTCCTAGACCTGGTGGCTTGCTTTCTCATGTTCCCTCCGTCTCTGTCCCGCTTTGGTCAAATTAAAATAGGTAAATAAATACATAAAGTTAAATAATTCTTTAAAACAAATGACTGAACTGTTAATTTGTATGAAACTTTGTCTTAGCAAGTAGTCCTTGCAACAGTTTCCAAAGCTACCAAAATAATTTTTTTAAAACAAATTTCATAGTGGACAAGACTCTTGACTCTTATTAACAAAACCTCAAACGAGATATGTATTACCATTTAACTGCTGTTTGGTTAAATTGACATATTATAATATAAACATTGCAGTTCAATTTCAGAATTGTTCAGAAGATTTCAAGCACCTTGTGCCAAGATTAAAAAAATTTTTTTTTGGCCAGAGGGTGCATACACTCACCAGTGACAGAAAGAGAAGGAGAAAGCAGCCACCTTGGGGAATGATCAATGTCCAGTCCCTTTTCCACTTCTCTCTCCTTTTGGGATTTTTTTGGCATGCCCCAACATATGCCTGATCTGTTTCTCACGCCACTGGGACGTGAACTGCATGGTCAGCCATGTGGGATCCAGCCACCTTAACCACTGTGGGCTGACCCGACAATTCTTTTTAAGAGACTATTCAAAAGTGCAACCAAGGGGCCAGCTGGCGGTGCTGCAGTGAAATATGCTGCTGCGAGGGGGGCCTCCCTGAGCACACCAGGCTGCATGTGCCGTGAGCGGGGGCCGGCTGAGGCTGCGGGCCAATCGCGATGTCAAGACCCTGCTGGGGATGCTGTTTCTGTCCCTCGTCTGTGGAATGCATACACTTCAAATGAAGCGTGAGAAAAAAAAATCACAGAAGGGATGGCAAAAGTGAGTCATTTGCCATTGGTGGTGGGAAAGGATTCTCCATCATTCCTAGGTATGGCAGGATGACAAAGGCCTAGTGCAGAGCCCATCTTGTCTGTAAAGGTGGTCACTTACATTCAGGCACTTTCCCTCCTTCTAGCCTTCTGCTAAGAAAGACTGAGTCAGGACCTGAACGCAGGTCGTCAAATCCTGTGCTCTTTTCTCGGCTTTCCCAGCTGTAGTCAGGTGCACTTGGAGCATGAAAGCATTTTTATTGATGGTGTCTCTGGGAGCAGGGACTGTTTCACTAAGGTCCTTAGGACCCTGTAAGTGACTTATAGAAAGGCGGGCATGGAGGAGGTGCTTAGTAAGTACTGTCACCTGGCTACTCTCAAAGGCTCTTACCTGAACCTCATTCTGTTACTGAGAATGTAGTGCGACAGCAGGCTGGGCCTGACCACCCAGACAGGTGCACAGCGCTATGCTAACAGCTGCCTGCACATCTCTGAGGCCACTGGCTGTTACAGCTCTGATCAAGGTCGAGGGGGTGTGAAACCTTGGCTAGTCAAGGGTGGTGCTGATGTAAAATATGTCAAAGGCTTTTTTTTTTTTAAAAAAAAGGCAAGATGTCATAACACTTGGGCTAGTTCGAATACAGCAGTTTTAATCTAACCGTAGTGCTGAACGAAGCTAATAGGTTTACCCTGTTAATAGTACTGAACCAGCAACCAGCTAATTTTCTGATGGTTTAAGAAGACAATTTGTTCAGAGGAGATGCTGTAGGACGATCTGCGACTGTGTTAAACACGATGTAAAGATAAGCCATGTGGAGTTAGATGAAAGGCAGGTGCCACCCTGCGGGAATGCCTGTGTGCCCGTGTGCATGCCTGCGTGCCCACCCTGCGCTGTGAGAAACCAGGAGGGGCGCCGCCTCATGCAGGACAGAGGGCAGTTAGCGGGGCCAGGAGGGCCAGGGCCCAAGCATGAAGCTCCCAGGAGCACTGCCCCTCCTCTAGAGCAGAGCATTCCCAGTGTACTTAACCCTTCGGGTGCTTTCGTCCCTCGACCAGGAAAGTGTGGAGGGGAAGGAGGGCAGAGATGAAGAGGAGGTCACAAGTGCACTCCTCCCGATCTGGAAGGGGAGAGAGAAACACACTCGGGAAAAGACAAAACAAACAAAACAAAAATCCCGTCCACCTACCCTGGCTCCATTCAGGAGGAGAATCCTAGGAAAGAACTGAGCAAGCATCAGGGATAGCCGGTGACAGGTTCCCTTAGGGAAACACTTCCCAGAAATGACTTTGGATTGAATGGGGTACTTTTCCAGGAGGGAAAAGATAATGCTTAGCATGATTCCTCAAACTTGCCAATAGTTTTTATGGATGGCCTGAAATGACTATTTGTTTTGCAACCAGGACTGACAAGATGAAATGAGAAACCATACACATGACTGTGAGGTGGCAAACATTATCAACCTAATCTTTAGTACAGGTACAGACCTGCTGCAATCATAGGACATCCTCACATTTTAAACTTTTCTAAAATAAAAAGCATACTATAAAAATGAACAAAGGTTGCCTTTTTAGAATTAGCTTTCAGGTACACAAAAATAAGATTCTTGTCTTATTTCAATGGCATTCCCCATTACACCAAGTGTATCAAATCAATTAGCCCAGAATGTTTAACCCAAACAACTTTAAAAGAAGTTCAAATAACGGCCTCCTGATTACAATAGAACAATGTAATTTTACCACACAAAAGTCTGACAAAGTTAAACTAGCGTTAATTTACCACATCCTTTACTTTGCATTTATCCTGAGGTTTTTTTTTCTTCAATTCCTACACAATTTGACACTCAAAAAAGATCAATTTTGCCATCTGAGAAAAACATCACATAAAAAAGTGAAAAATGTCTAACATTCTGTCACACAGATTTTTATAATATATTAATTCTAAAGAAATAGAACAGTTGAAAACCTCACAACACAATACTCAGGCTGTTGTAAAATAAGATCGATCGTAAGGACCTTGTTACAGAATCTAGTCTTTGGAATTCGACACTTGTAAGACTGCTGTAGAGTTCTGGCATTTCATTATTTCTGAGATGACAAAGCCACACTCCCTCCGCGAAGGGGAGAAAAAGGATGCAGGAGCTGGCCCGACAGGCACACTGAGCCCACGAGGAGAGGCTGCAGAGGCCTGGAGCCCACCAGGCTTGCCTTGTGTACCTGGGTCAGGTGCCACCTGCTCAGGTGGGAGGAGCTGAGGAGGCATCTTGGATTCTGAGGGCTGCAGTCTTTAAAGGGCCACATTCTTGTCTACTTTGAAGACAATGACCCTCACTTCTGCTACCCAGGTATTTTTGGGTCTTGAAGCAGGGAAGGAAGGAAGCTTTACCAAAAAAGTGCCAATACCGGCTGGTTGGGAAATCTATTTTGGACACACGGGAGAAAGGGAGCAGGAGTCGAGCAAGAGCCAGAAGCCCTGACTGGGCTGGGAAACTTGCCACAGCCCTATGAGAACACTTTAAGCACCTGTGGACATATGAATGCAGCAAACACGATGGCCGCCCTTGTAGCCCAATTTGGCAAAGCAGAGGTGCAGGGATCTGCAGGTTCAGAAGAGGGCATGGAGTAGGCAGGCTGCATGGAGTGGACAGCGGAAGCGCCAGTGATGCTACTTACGTGTGCAGGGAAGGGCTGGAGTCTCGTCCTGCTCTCTTCAGGGTGGCTCGCTTCTCCCATTGGGAGATACGGTTTCTGACCCGATCCCGTCTCGTACATGGACATGGGCCTACTGCCCCGGGCAGATGGACGTCTCTTTAAGGAAGAGTGGCTGGAAGTGTCTGTGTACTCAGAACCAGTCTGCACCTGATATATATTGGTTGTGGCCTGTTTCCTGAGGTTCGAATTTTCACTCTGGAGTGTTTGAAGCTGAAAGAAATGTTTGGCAGTGGGACTGTGTTTTTCTATAGCAAGCAGAAAAAGCAAACACCAAGTAAACAAATATAACTACCGGCTTTAAACAATAAGAACGGTAACAGCTAGCTGGGTTGACAGTTAAAAGCAACTACGAACAAGAACTCTTTCTTCCGGAAAGAGTCAAACACAATCAACTCACTTCATCATGTAAGCAAATTAAATCATTTAATTTCTGAATGTGGAAACACTGTAGTTTGGACTTTCTAAAACCTAAATGTCTAACTACTTAAAATTTTGTCTTGGTGGGGATGGGAAGTGTTTGCAGGCAAACTGTACTCTGGATTATTCTAAGGCTGTTTTAAGTGAGAGCTTGAGATCATTAAAACATCGCTTAGGGTAACTTGCTTTTCAAATGAGCCCTGAGCAATTTGCAAATGCCAAAAATGCCAGCAGACACCATGGAAGCAGCACAAGGGTAACTTAGAGTTGCTGTGCAAAGCAAGAAAGACAGCGAGGTTCAGCTTATGAAAAATCAGACCAGCTCTTGTCTTCCAAAAAGCCAACCAGAAAAATCATGATCCATACGTTTTTATTATGTGATACTCTTGATATTCCAAACAATTCAGCATTTTTTTGAAAATAGAGGGGACCGATTGTGGTTAAGTTTGCTATACTGACATCACGAAGAAGACTGAAAACCTATAGAGCTACATTAGTCTCTTCATACGAATGCTCTGTGTAGCATCCTTGCTTCCTCTGGTGATGGAGCATCGTTCAGCCAGGAATGGAATGCAACTGGTCTTTCTCTCCTTTGGCTCTGTCACCCACCACGGCCACGGTGGTGCAACTAATCTGCCTGGCATCACCCTGTTTTAGTTAGACACTGTCACTCCCAGGCCCTGAATGCTCTTTCCATTCCTCACATGCAGGCTGCTTCATGGCGTTTGATGAATTAGAGTTAAGGGATCAGCAAGGAGTCGTGTTACTCTTTAGCATCTGGCCTTTTTAAACAATCAACTGCGTCCATTCTGCAGGGTCCTTCCCCTCTGGGGCTCCTTCATCTTCCGTGACATTTTATAAGCTGGGTGTGTTGTAAGTTCAGCTGTCTACTCTTTGACAGAGATTGTAATAGCAGGCCGAATTCCCCACCAGTGAGTTTGGACCAGAAGATCATTGCTTTTTCAATAGCAAACCCATTCAATGTTGGAAGTTACTCGCGATTTTTATTTAGAAAGCACCGATCTGTGAAAAATTCACCAATAGTAGCTCCTCCTCTTCATTAATTATCATCTTTTCCAAGCAACTGTTAAATGCGAAAGATCAGATACAAATCATGCTACTTTGCCAATCATATGTATATATACACATGTATATCTATCTATATATAATACTTTACCTAACTTTATAAAATAAAATCAATGAACGTTTGCTAAACAAATTCCACATACTTTATATTAATAGTGACAAACCTATGTGAAAACATGACTTAAATGCATCTTTCACAGAGAGACCACTCATTTTTAGTTTCCTTAAGAGGGAGCCACTAAGGGATGATGGCTCGCTGTATCCCACAAAGGCTTTCAGAGTATACTTAAAGCTGCAACTCCCTTTCCAAGGAAAGAACAGCTGCAGTGTGGCCAGCTACTGCAAATTCCTACATTCCAGGACACAGACGGGCATGAGGTGCCTGTCCAACTCTTTACTAGCGAATCCATGGCTAAAGTGAAATGGTCAAGGTGCAAACAGGAGGAGCACGACTGACATGCATCCCTCTATGAGCACTAACGCGTCGTCATGTTTGTCTGTTACAATTTCTTAGCCAAGGCCTCAGAAACGGATGCTTTAGCCTAACACTTTTCATGCCTCTCAAATGTACAGCCTGGATTTTGTTTGAATCTTTCTTGACACATTCAAGTTCCTGGTTTCAATTTTTAAAAATTTTAGTATTCTGTGTTTAGAGAGATGTCCTTGGATAAATAGGAATGGTGCTTATCTTAATAAAAACCAGGCCATGCTCTTTTGTTTGGAAGGAGTATAACGGGAAGTTATGCATAATTCAGTAGTTTCTGAAATCAAAAGTATTTCTAAGAATTGAAGAGATAATCAACCAGCAATGACAAATCATCTTGCTCTGCATTTCTTAAAGAGGCTCAAGATGTTTGCCCTCGGAGATATCAGGCTATCCCTGATGACATCTACAAATATTAAAGGGAGTATTATAAAATAAAGAAGGTGATCAGAAAATTAACTGGCAATGCCAAAGTCAGCATGTTTCAAAAAAAGCTGTCTCCATAAAACTGTTAGTCAGATTACTGGGAAAAATATAATCTACCAAACAAAACGTATTTCAGAGAAGGCGAGGGAAGTGCAGGTCTGGTATACAATGGCTAAGGGGCCCTTTCTTGGTCTGTCTGGTTCAGGGCTGCGCAATCAGCATTTGCTTAAAGACTGATCTTCAGGCATTCTTGTCACTTTTTACATAGGTACTGGAGACATGTATTTCAAAAGGTCTTAAGAAATGATTCTAGAACTCATTACCAAAAGAAGCCTAGACCAAACTTCAGGCAGAGGTGCACAGCTGTTTACTTCCATGGAGAAGAGAGGCATGCGGGCCCCTTTTTAGTTCTCTCTGGCCTTCCCTTGGGAAACGGCACTGAAAAGGATCCAGCCACAGAGGAAATGCAGCATGTCTTCAGGTCTTGAAAACAAGCCTGAAACATTACTCTTCGAACTGATGGTATAAAGACACAGATTATATGTGTATTTGTTTTGTTTCTGTTTAAGGAATGTGGGCAAAATCTCATTTTTGAAGAGAACTGAATGATGGGGGTAATACCCACAAAGTTTTGGGTAAAATCTGGAATTTTTCAACTTCCTTTTTTTGGTCTTTTCATAAAAAAAATTATATCCATATATGGTGTTAGCTTAAAAAAAAAAAAAGAATTATATCAACAATCTTCCCCCTCTTAAGTGTATTCCTTGCTTCTACTGGCCAAATCGATTTTAGGGCTTAATATATCTTTACGGTTTTTATTCTCTCAAAAGTGAGAAAATGGTGGGAACCAGCAGTTAGCGTAATGGCTATGTCGCTGGACTCCCACGTAGTCGACTGCGGTTCGTGTCCCGGACCCGGTGGCTTAAAACTCACGCCGGGCGCGTGTGCGTGCGTGCCCAAGATCCCGAGAGGAGAATGGAGGAGAAGGGATTGCGGCGTGACCATCCCCCCTGGGGGGTGATTTCTCGCTTTCTGTCTCTATGTCTCTCTCTGTCTGTCTGGTGAGCGCACGCGCCCTACAGTGAAAATCTCTCCAAAAAAAAAAAA